TCTATTTCTAGCCCTTTCTAGTTCAAGTTCTTTCTCCAGCACACCAAATCCAATATCCAGTTATTTGCTCAACATCTCCACTTGGATACCTGAATTTCTAACAGGTATTTCAAACTTAACATGCCCAAAACTAAATTCCTGATTCCTGCCCACAGTACTCCAAACTCATTCCACCTGAAATTTACCCTATCTCATTTGATGACGAAAATTATCTTTTTAGCTGCTCAGTCCAAAAAAAAAATTTTAGGACAGTCCTTAACTCTACTTTCTCACATTCTCTACCTTCAAAATATATTCAGAACATCATCTATTTCCACTACAACCATAACCATATCGATTCTTCAAAAACCTAAGTCAAAATGCACATGTACACACTTTTTTTGTCTCTCTTGTCTCTTTCTCACACACATATCACTCATGTCACCATTAGATGTGTCTACTAAAGAAACTCCTTATTCTAAAAAAAAAAGAAAAAAAGAAACTCCTTATTCTGATGGCTAGTAATTAATGTAGAAAAAAAACTGAAGTATTTGTCTGTCTTTCTTGTAGGAACTGTACTGCAGGATAACCAAATAATCAAGTTGATAAGGGACAACTGATGACTCATAATGTAGACGGCAAGATAAAATTAGTGAACCAACAATTTGGAACCCCAAAGGAAATAACTGACTCAGAAAACTACCATCCATGTAGTTACATTACACTTAATGAAAGGTTGATGAAAAACTGGATATTCACATGTTCCCAAATATCAACCTACAGATACTTGCTGTTGACAAGATGGGGAAATGTCATTGTATAATGGAGGGATTATGTTGTCATCAACTTACTGAAATATTAGAAGTCAGTATTAGATGCTATGAAATATGAAACATATAACACAACCTATAAGTATTTTTGCCACTAATATTTTACCTGAACATAGTCGAGCCTTTAGCCCTAACTCCAAGCATATAAGAAAAACAGGGGATAAAGAACAAATTAAACCAACCACAAAAAGCAATTAGATAAATCCAAAAGGTGGAGTCTTCTTTGGGAATGTTCTCTTCAATAAGTCACTGCTATTAATGGAAGGGGTGGGGGAAATTATTCTAAATTAAAAGAGAGCAAAAAATCCTCAAAATCAAATATTATATTTGTGTGGTCTTTGACTGTATCATCATTTGAACAAACCAGGTGTAAAATGCATTTGGGGACAACTTGGAAAATCTGAATACGGTCTGAGCTATGATAGCAATCTAGTTAGATATAAAATTAGTATCATGGTTGTATACAAAATGTCCTTAGGGGGGATCGGGATGGGGAACACATGTAAATCCATGGCTGATTCATGTCAATGTATGGCAAAAACCACTACAATATTGTAAAGTAATTAGCCTCCAACTAATAAAAATAAATGAAGAAAAAAAACTTAAAAGTCCTTACTTTTAAAAATATAAATTAATGTATTTAGGAGCAACCATTAACGATCTGTAATATAAATTAATATTTCCCAAAAAAATTATACCAATGTGTTAATAAACATACTTCTAGGTGATAGAGTTATGGGTATTCACACTATTCACTCTTTTCTATATGTCTAAAAATGTTCATAATAAAATGAAAAGATAAAAGAGAAACAAAATGAAAAAAACTATACCAGATCATATCACTCAAAACCTCCACTGGCTTCACCTGGCATTGGGAGTCAGAAACCTTGCACCAGTTCCATGTGATACGGTCCCTCAACTTTGACCTCACCCCCTACCACTCTCCCACTCAATCACTCTGATCCAGCCACACTGGTCTCCTCGCTGTTATTCAACACATCAGGCATGCTCACACCTTAAGACTGTTGTCCTAGCTGTTCTCTTTGCCTGGAGGATCTTCCAAATATCTGCAGTTTACACTCTCACATCTGTTTCTTTGCTTAAATAAACTCACCTTTTCAATGAGGTCTACTCTCACTTTTTTGTTTAAAATTGCCACTTCACCACCTTAGTAGTACTCTCATTCTTCCTTATCCTGCCCTCTCTCTTTCTTCTTTTGCCCCCTTCTCATTGATCACCTTTTAATGTATCATATGATTTGCTTAGAATATAAGCATCATGAAGGCAAGGATTTTTACTTGCTTACATATGTAGTCGCAACACTTAGGACACTACCTGGCACATAGGAGGTGTTCAGTCAATATTCCTTAAATGGGTATATTTGGGTTATAATAGTGCATAACCATGGTACCGCTATTATTATGTTCTGAATCAAGAAACCAAGAAGCTGGGACAAGAGTGAGAGTCACCATCTCCTTCCTCTTCCTGTGACAAGACAAACCCAGCCAAGTTTGTCTTTCAGTATCCTCAAACTTTCTATTAGTCCTTTCTTCTTGCCCTTCGTGCTGACCCTAAACCCTCTATTCCAGCAATCTCTGTTAAGGGAACTGAATCAGCCCGATTTTCCAAAGTCTGTTCTAAAACTGCTTACATCCCTACCACCTTTCCAAGTCAAAACATCCAGTACAGGTAATCCCAGGTTGAAATCAGAATAAAATCACTCTCACTTTATAGCAGAAATAATTAACTTTGCCTACAAGTTCTAGCATTAAGGAAAAAAATTAAAAGAACCCTGTTAATCCAAATAATTTCCAATTGGTGAAAATATGGGTTGTGGACAGGGGGAGTAAACATTTTCAGGAAGTGATGACAGGGGGGTGGGGTGGGTAGAGTTAGGCAAGAGACCAGTACACAGGGTGAGCATACATGCTTAGGAACCAATTCCCCAGGTTATAAGCCCTCAGCAGTTCTCGATTGTCGTGGCTTTTCTTACTTTACCTCACCAGACTACAAATTATCTAAAATCTCTCACATTTCTTCCCCTGCCCTCAGCGGTCCTTAAGATTACAGATTCCCAAAATAAGATTGCTCAGGCAATAAAAATAAGCAAATGGTGTTATACAGAACAATACCAGGGTTACTCTTTCTAATAATAGGTTATTTCTAAATCAAATATTTCTTGGTTGGGCATTTCTTATATAAGACAAAGGCCCCATTATCTACTTTGAAAAAAAAAGGACCATTCCAACATTGGTTAACCCCCAGGGATATTTTAATTCAGTTCAAAAAGTGTTGCCATTATGAGGAATAGTCTCATACAGAAAGTTTTAATTCTAAAACTGATATTCAACTAACAATACTATATTAAGCATTAGGTCATCATTATTCACTGCAATAAGCCCTGAAACTCTCAGTCTCCAAAGTCCTAACCTATATTCTAATTAATCATGCTCAAATTAAATTTCAGCTACCCTGTCACTTCAGCAGTTGGCTTCATTTTCTCAAATCCAAAACAATCAAGGTGCAATTAAATAGCTGAACTTCTCTTTCTCTATACTAAGAGTGGGCTCCCTGGCTGCCAGTAGGGATAGGAATGACTACCATGACACTTCTCTTGTTTGGTACCAAAAAGCTATATGCTTTTAGTTCTGAACTAATTTCTCTTCTGGAACATTATAGAGAAATGGAAAAATTAAGATAACCAAAGGCAGTAGGTGGATTATATTTGAGAATCCTAAAAGAAGATGTCCTTCTATCCTGAACTTGAGCTCTTATGGACAGGAATAGACATTCTTTTCCAGAGTATCCTCAGTGCTTAACAAAGCAACAACATGCCATAAAAACTCAGTAAATGAGTACTTCCTGACTAGTTGAAAATCCCAGGCAGGTAGACAAATTAGAAAAGCTAGACCAGAAAGACAACAGAGGCCTTATTACATTAAAATCCTCCACGCTATCAAGAGAGTTATCTTCCTAAAACATAGATCATTCATTTGTAATAATTAGTGAACTTTTACTACAGGCTAAGCAATAAAATCAATCAAGAGAAATTAGTAAAATATAGATCCTGTCCTAAATGACTCACAAGCTAGCAAAGGAGACAGACATAGTTTATTCCAGTATAACCTGATAAGTGCTAGAAGTCTGAGTCATTTTATAAGAACAGAATTTAAGAAGTGACTTAAACTCTGCATGGGTGAAGTGTCTACCAAAAACTTTTATAGTTCAAGAAGTACTTGATCTTAAAGAATAAATAAGAATTTACAAGATGAAGAAAAGACAGATGAGAGGGGGTAGGTAAGTACATTTTCCAGTTACAAGGAACTGCATTTAGACAGAGGTCTATACATAGCAATGCCCATACAAAAGTTCAAGTAACAGCTAGTAATTTAATATGACTAGAATATTAGATGTGAAGGGAAAAAAAAATCACTAAAGATAAGGCTGGAAAAAAAGAATGGGCCTAGATTGTGAAGAGCCTTTTCTGCTACATTTAGAAGTTTGAATTTCATCCTGCCAGCAAAAGTTTTTAAGCAGTGTGTTAATTAGATCTCTTTCAGAATGTAACAGTAGTATATCCATAATATGAAAGATGGATTGAAAGAGAAATAATCAGAGGCCAGAGATCTGCAAGATAACTACGCAGTGGTGTAAGTGAAAAATGATATGAGAAAGGCCTCAAGAATTTATTCACATCCATAAAAAATTTCAGCGGTAACTACCAATATGATAAAATTCTAACTCAACACAGCATTCAAGGCTCCTGACAATCTAAAGTTGTGCCAACCTTTCCAACCTCACTTCCTGTCCCTTTTCCCCCCATATCTTACAATCCAGTCACATGAGACTAAGTACCATTTCTTCAACTTGTTATATACATTCTATCTCCCATGTCTTCATTCACACACTATTTGTTACTTCTGCACAGACAACTCGCAACAAACTTGTACAGCCTTCAAGCACCAGGTTCCAAGAAAATGTTATATCTGTAAAGTCTTCCCTGACTCCATCTCTCTCAAGGCAAAAATTTATTAGGCTTTCTTAGAGGCTTTCACATCACATCATTCATACCACTAATGTAGTTTCTTATCCCTTCTGCTAAAATGGCTGAGCTGAAACCAATCTTTTAAAAATAAAATTTAAATTTTACATATAAAATCACAAAATTTACACACACACACTTTTTTTTACCTGATAAAACTTGAATTTGAACCCAAGAATATGACACAGTGTTTGCGGTTCACACATACTCATGTAAGATTCTAATAAAGATATAAAGAAGTCATCGTGTTCTGGCCTGCATTCAAACACTTCTAAAATGACATCCAGAACTCTATTGGGATCCAGATTAAAGCATCCTGTAACAGATGAGATATACACAAATTCAAAAGTGATTATACATCATTTCTAGAAAAATCATTAACTTTCAGGGACAACTTACATAAAATAAAGATGTTTTTTAAAACAACTTCTTTTACAAGTTTGCCTTCTCTGCCCCAGAGGGAAATCTTCATTTTCAAGGTCATCAAGACAACCCCCCACATTTTACAGGTGAGAAACATGACTTGCCCTGGATTACAGAGCAGATTACTGACACAGCTGAGCCCAGGACCCTGTTCTAAGTGAAACTTCTATGCCACATTATCTCATCAGTTCTTGTTTACTCACACTAGTGAAAGAGATTCACATTTTTAATTCTTATCAAAATATGAAAATCAAACAATGTGTTTTACAAGTTAGACAACTTTCATGCAAAGCTATTTGGAATGTGGATAAACAAGTTTGAGGTTCAGGTTTGTGAAAGTAGAGCATCATTTTTAGAATCATATTTTAGTTTATCTTACATACACAACAGAGCTACAAAAAGTAATTGTACATTCATAGTTTTTGGCAGTAATTCTAAAGGAAATCAGGTACACTGCTGATATTAAAGATATGAGAATACCAAGGAGCTGGGGACAAAACACAAGCAAACAGAGAAGTAAGAAAACAATCTAGGTAGAGCAGGAAAGAGAAGGGAAAGAAGCACTTAATAGGAACTGATGGTTACTTACCCTTGCTAATCTCCTAGAGTAAGTTAAAAAGGCCAATAGACACGAATTTAATAAACATTCCTATCAGCCACCCTACTCTCAATACTATTATTACCTCTATTTGCATTCATCTTCGGCTGTTACTATAATTATATTATAGTTCAGTTAGATCATATGTGCATTTGAGAATGCAACCATTTACACATAATAATGCAAAATAAAAGAGACAAATCATTTAAATAATATAGTCAAAAAAAGATCTTGCTGTGATTTATGTCATAGTGTTCTGCCTATGTTTTCCTCTAAGGGTTTTATAGTGTCTGGCCTTACATTCCCATTGGTGGGAATGTAAATTGGTATAGCCACAATGGAGAAGAGTATAGAGGTTCCTTAAAAAATTAAAAACAAAACTATTAGCTTGGTGCAAAAGTAACTGTGGTTTTGCATTGTTGAACTTTGCCATTTGATATTGGAATGCATTCTTAAATAAATATGCTTATGTTCTATATCATTTTAATGTGCACTTCTCACTTTATGTTTTTTGGCTAATAACTTATTACTTGCTATTTATTTCATATGTATTTTAGACCAGGGAAATGATGTTAGACAAAAAGCAAATGAGCAATTTTCTTATTTGAATTCAAAATGGGTCGTAAAGCAGTGGACACAACTCACAACATCAACAACGCATCTGGCCCAGAAACTGCTAACAAACATACAGTGCAATGGTGGTTCAAGAAGTTTTGCAAAGGAGATGAAAGCCTTGAAAACGAGGAGCACAGTGGCTGGCCATTGGAAGTTGACAACAACCAACTGAGAAGATCATCAAAGTTGATTCTCTTACATCTATGTGAGAAGTTACCCAAGAACTCAACGTCGACCATTCTGTGGTCATTTGGCACTTGAAACAAATTGGAAAGGTGAAAAAGCTTGATAAGTGGGTGACTCATAAGCTGACTGCAAATCAAAAAAGTCATCACTTGGAAGTGTCATCTTCTCTTTTTCTATGCAACAACAACAAACCACTTCTTGACTGGATTGTGACATGCAACAAAAAGTGTATTTTATACAATAACCAGCGATGACCAGCTCAGTGACTGGACTAAGAAGCTCCAAAGCACTTCCAAAAGCCAAACTTGCACCAAAAACAGGTCATGGTCACTGTTTGGTAGTCTGTGTGTGCCGGTCTGATCCATTACAGCTTTCTGAATTCCAGTGAAACCATTACATCTGAGAAGTATGCCCAGCAAATCAATGAGATGCACAGAAAACTGTAACACCTGCAGCCATCGATGGTCAACAGAAAGGGCCGAATTCTTCTCCACGACAACACCCAACTGCACAGCACACAACCAATGCTTCATAAATTGAACGAATTTGGCTGCGAAGTTTCACCTCATCCGCCATATTCACCTGACCTCTCGCCAACCAACTACCACTCCTTCAAGCATCTCGACAACCTTTTGCAGGGAAAATGCTTCCACAATCATCAGGAGACAGAAAATGCTTTCCAAAAGTTCACTGAATCCCCAAGCACAGATTTATGCTACAAGAATAAACAAACTTATTTCTCAATGGCAAAAATATGTTGACTGTAATGGTTCCTATTTTGATTAATAAAGACATCTTTGATTCTAGTTATAATGATTTAAAATTCAGGGTCCAAAACCGCAATTACTCTTTCATCAACCTAATACCGTAAGACCCAGCAATCCCAATCCTGGGCATATACCTGGAGAAAACCATAATTCAAAAAAATGCATGCATCTGAATGTTCACTGAAGCACTATTTACAACAGCCAGGATAATGGAAGCAATCTAAATGTCCATCAACAGATGAATGGATAAAGATGTGGTACATATACACAACGGAATATTACTCAGCCATAAAAAGAAATGAAATTGTGCCATTAGCAGAGACATGGATGGACCTAGAGGCTGTCACACAGAGTGAGTCAGAAAGAGAAAAACAAATATCGCATGATATCACTTTTATGTGGAATCAAGAAAAATGGTACAGATGAACTTGTTTACAAAGCAGAAATAGAGACAACAGATGCAGAGATCAAACATATGGACACCAAGGGGGAAGGGTGAAGTGGGATGAACTGTGAGATGGGGACTGACACATACAGACCACTATGTATACAATAGATAACTAATGAGAACCTACTGTATAGCACAGGGAACTCTACCCAAAGCTCTGTGATGACCTAAACGAGAAGGAAATCCAAAAAAGACGGGCTATATGCACACGTAGAGTTGATTCACTTTGCTGCACAGTAGAAACCAACACAACATTGTAAAACAACTATAATAACAATTAAACTTTCAAAATTAATTTAAAAAATAAATGATATAGTCAACTTCATCCACCATTCATCTCAAAATAATATATGCTGATGACCCAGGGTGAGCACATCACTCGGCTGTTCCCTCAGTTTATATCAGTTCCCTTATGCCTTGTGCACCAAGCTGAATGAATTCTAGAATTTTTAATTACAGATTGTTCATTAGGCATAGCCCCTAAATGCAAGCTAACCACTTCATCTGGGGTAAGCAAATAAGCACTGATTTATTCTAATGCTGGAGCAAAAAAGAACAGTGTCAACTGAGGAAGAGATGTTGGGTCTAACCACTGTACCTTATGGATGACTTACAGGATTTTTCAAAGAAAATTCTTATATAATCTATTAATGATTTCTCTATTAAAAGAGTTACTTCTATTATCTCCACACTTAAGTATATTAAATGCTATAAAGCTAATTGCAGTATTAATTGCTATAAAGTCTAATTTGCAGTATCTTAGCCATCACTTAGAAAACCAAACCCTCCAAATTTAAGTATTTCTTTCCTCCTTTTATAAAACCAAAGCTTAGAATACATTTTTCTTCCACTTCTCATACTAAGGAAAGAAAGGACCAATACAATGATCATCTTACAGAAAGAGCTCAACTTTCATAAATTCTCCAGAGATGTTTACCTAAAGCTCTGGGAAGAAAACTTCTGAATATTTTTGCCTTTCCTTGCACCCTCGAAAAGTATGGCTGATAAATGTACATCTTTGCATGAAATGTTCCTTGGTATCTCTAATTTTCTTGAAGAGATCTCTAGTCTTTCCCATTCTGTTGTTTTCCTCTATTTCTTTGCACTGATCACTGAGAAAGGCTCTCTTATCTCTCCTTGCTATTCTTTGGAACTCTGCATTCAAATGGGAATATCTTTCCTTTTCTCCTTTGCTTTTCGCTTCTCTTCTTTTCACAGCCATTTGTAAGGCCTCCTCAGACAACCATTTTGCCTTTTTGCATTTCTTTTCCACGGGGATGGTCTTGATCCCTGTCTCCTGTACAATGTCACGAACCTCTGTCCATAGTTCATCAGGCACTCTGTCTATCAGATCTAGTCCCTTAAATCTATTTCTCACTTCCACTGTATAATCATAAGGGATTTGATTTAGGTCATACCTGAATGGTCTAGTGGTTTTCCC